GGTTTTTATACCTCTGTCCCTAAAGACCCTACTTCACAGTGGCGTTATGTCACTGTTTTCCGCGTCTCTCTCGGTCGTACCGCTAGATGTCGCATGATCGCGATTGTATAGCAGTGCTGGATACGGTCGTGATCATGCGACGTTTAGCGGTACGATTGAGGAAGACCCGAAATACAGCGACATAATGCTACCGTGAAGTATGGCCTTAAGGGGCAGAGTTATAAAAGTTGCTCCATAGCTCCATGACACTAAGCACTAACTGGAGGAAAGTTCTTATCTGTCGCTCTCCGTGATTTCTTCGATCAGTACCAGGCGAATGTCGGAGCAGTAACGTGACAAGAGGGCCAAGGACTTCATACACCATTTCCTTCCTCGGCCTTGGCGCTTCTTCTCCACTTGCATGGTGTGAAGAGCCCCCTTGGAAGCTGGTCGCTCCGGTATATTTTCCAGGGAGGCGCATCACTTTAGAGTTAACGAGATCTTACCATTGGGTAGATGAGGAGCGTACCAAGTGAAAGATCACTAAGAATTATAACTCTATTTCTGTGTCATTATAAAATAGAGACGGGGGAGTGATAGAGATGGTGAGGTGTGTGTACAGACAGACGGGGTCTACAGGGTTCCTCGCCAGTACAACGTACCAAAGACGTAGAGACGGGCTAATAGGCCTCGTCGGATTGTGGAGGAGGGGGAGGGTTCCAGCGACTTTTTCAAAAATGAGTACAATGAAACCTGTCTTACGAGGTCACTACGATTGAGCAGAAAATTGATAACATATATTTAACTGCGTTGCCGAAGCCGTTGCGTTGCCAGAGCGAACACTGCCGCTGCTCCTCTATGTAGTGACTTCGGCTGGGAGGTCGTGGGATTTGAGTCACGAGACTGTGCGGTGGAGGATTTTATATACTAGCTACATATGTAGATCGAATTCAGCTACTGTTTGGATTAGAATTAATGCGGCCGACTACTCTGATGGCTAGTTTTCTGTGATTTCTTCGATCAATACCAGGCGAATGCCGGAGCAGTAACCTAACAAATGGACCGCACGAGATCTTTCCTTTTTCAACCTTGTCTTATCCTCGGCCTGCACACACACACACACACACACACACACACACACATACACACACATACACACACATACACACACATACACACACACACACATACGCACCTACTTACATGCACTACTACACTACCACACATGTCAAAAGACCAGTCGGAAGCTTGTAGCTTGCCCCACGGAGCGGAGATACCAAGGGTGGTGCCCCGCTGAGGGAGATACTTGGAGAAGGAATCCCCCGGAAGCTGACTTTCAGGTTGAAGCCGAAACTTTTCGTTCAGCGTTATACTAACAGGAGCAATGACCGCAGCAGTTGTCGTGCCCGCAAGCTTGAACCAATGAATGGATGTGAAGCGCCAGCGTCGCATGTTGTGCGCAGGTGCGTGTGGGCGCACGAGGGGGCGGTGCACGCGCTGGCGCCCACGCCCGACGGCCGCCTGCTGCTGTCCGGCTGCTCCAACGGCGCGCTGCGCGTGTGGGCCCTGGCGGACGAGCCATCGCCGCCGTCGCCGTCCCGCCAGCAGCGCTCGCTGACGTCGTCGCCGCGCCACGCCTCCACGCTGTCGGGCAACACGGGCCCCCTCGAGACGCCCCTGGCGCGCGTCGAGGCCGCCCACGACCTGGGCGTGCTCGCCGGCGACGTCTCGCCCCAGCAGCTGCTCGTCGGTGCGTACGCCAACCGGCTTGCTTTTGTCGCTTGCGAATGGCATGTGGACTGTGCGAGCGTGATTGTTCATGGGGGCGAGGAGCCCTCTCGTCCGTTGGGATCGTGTTGCGTCCACTGTGCCGTCATTTTTTAATTAATTGAGCAGTTAACTAATTTCTCTGCGGACTTCTACAGGGGGAGATATACATTCCGTTTTCTCTGCTTATTTCCCCTCTTCTTTATCTTCTTTTTTCATTTTTTTCTTTTTGTTCTTCCTCTTTTACTTTTTACTTACCTTCTTCCATATCTTATTCGCCTTCTTCCTCTTATTGGTGTATCGGTCTTACGACCCGTTTCGACTGAAAGCTCTCATCGTCTGCGATTCGGTTCTTTTTTCGTTTGTTTATTACTTCCATTTTTCACATTATGAAACATTCATAGCTTTTTCTTTCTTCTACCCTTTCCTCTTATACTTTATCGTTTATTAACGCTTTTGTTAGCACCTTCGTGGGAAAAAAGGCCTAGTTTTATCGGCTTTCTGATGGGTTTTACACCAATCAGCTTTTTATCTTCTACTCGCGGATCATTGAGAACGTTTTAATGATCTTCCTTTCAGCTATTGATTTAGTTGCGTCCATTAATTTTTAATATACTTATCGGTTTTTTATGAAGTAACTTTTAAAACTATGTTCTTTTTAAAAGATTAACAGTTTGGAAGAATTTAACTTTCGACAAATGTATTGAATTCTTTTAAATTTATCGGGTAACAGAGGAGATTTGACCCGAATCCTCCTCAGTGCTACATCTCAAAGGATTAGGGAATCCAGTTATAATCTAGGCGTATCTGAGAGTTCGTGTGAGTTTTAAAAAATCAGTGCGTTAAGGAAAATCTATACTAATAAAATCAATACCCTAATGCATAACCTAAAGAATGAACCCATACAATATATAACAACCAGCATTATTTATGTGTCTATAATCTGTTGATGCATTGTTGGTCGTTAGATCAATTCAATAGAAATAAATTGCGCAATTAAATTTGAAGAGTTTCAAATTTGTATTATTTATGTAGGACATTTCAGCAATTCATTGCCTTACTATTCTTATTATTTTTATTGTTAATATTTTAAATGTAATTTTGAGTTCCTTATTGCAATTTCAATTGGATCTAATCTATCAATAAATATTTGTTGTTTGTTTCTTCGTTTATTATTCGTATTAGTTGTAGAATTATAGCGACAGATTTATTCGTCTTCCGTGGTCATGCTAATAATTGCTGGCTGCCAATTAGACGTGCCAGGACTAGTGTACGACGAAAGGAACACTCCTCAGCTGAAAAGTGAGAAACATGCTCATTGAAATATTTATAAATTATTGTATAAGACGGAAAATTCAAACAAAAATTTCTAATCTCTTGCAACTTATATATCAAGATTTACTTTATTTCAACGCTGTCAGTATGTTTTTCAGAATGATTCGCTCAGACTGCAAAAATATTGACTCCCAGTATATAACATTTATATTTCCGCCGTAAGTATCTTTCTTTGTGTTGCGTGTCCGTTATTAGAAATACGGTTTGATTTGAACCCTTCTTAGATCCTTGTAGTTATACACTTCCGCCTACTAAGGGATTATCATGTCTCTGCTGTAGTGATTTGGTAATTATTATTTTTTTCATGTTCCCCAACGTCCAATCAAGATAGCTTTAATTTGACGGTAATGGCGATGATAGCAGAGATGGGGATAGTCGATATTCTCTGAACTATTGTGTCGAGCTGTCATTGTTCTTGGTCATTAGAACATAGTACGTCTCGCAGAGACTGCTTACTATTTTATTACTTGTAGTACAAAAACCAACCATGCTTTGTCCGAGTTATATAGAGTTTTTGTGTGTGTGTTTTAGGAATCGGGAAGGTTATTTTTGACTTCCGCAATCGGCGGAGAATGTATTTGTTTTTCGCTTAGAGTAGTCTACTGTAGATGCTTATTTTCCCCTTGCTCTGGCGTATGTTGTAGGTTAATGACTCCTTGATGAAAGGAGTTTTTTTTTCTTTTGGAAATACGGGAGCTAACACTGAACAGTTTTTGTATGATAAATTTTCGTGTGATGAATGTTATTTTTATCGACTTCAGACAGAAACTTTTCGTAAAGCCCAATACATACCCCCAAAATACCACTATTTGAAATGATGCGAAAATCAGTTGTACAGATTTCTCCAAAAATATTTTCATTTTACAACGGGCAAAATTGATAAGATTGTTGTCCCATACGTGCGATCATAAACTATATCGCTGCAATACTAGAGTAAGGATTGCCACATATACATCTTCTGTATGGCTATTGTAATTGCTGCTATTGGCTTTTGAGTTCGTAGTTATAGTCGCCTAGAAAGAAACCATCAGCCCCATGGCTAGACTTCAGTTACTCCTCTTTTATGTTGCCTACATTCATAATTGGCATTTCGATTCTTGTTCTGGGACATGCTGATATACATTGTCAGTTTGCCATTACGCATGAACTGACAGTGAAAATCTGAAGTTATCCGCACTGGCGTTTAATGGCGACTTTTTTGGACAAAATAAGTTAGCAAATACAATATGATTAATTTCATCCTCATAAACTTTCCACTAACGTCTTTTATATTGTATTAAGCAAAAAATGTAGCCATTTTGCCGACGAACGTTCCAGTGATGAACTACAGTTTTTTAGCGATATCAGTTAATTTAAGAAAGACAGCAGCGTCGGTGTATCCTGCGGTGATGCGTTACGCAGTGTTCGCGGGTAGAAAATCTTATTTTTTCAATATGCACTATATTATGACGAAGCGCAAAGTATTCATTTTTATAATTTGAGGTAGAAAGAGTAAGTCCGCATTCCTATACTCTCACCGCCCTGCACCCTTGCTTTTAGCGATATGCAGCGCTGTTCGGCGGGAAGTCTAACCTAGCATAGCTTAGTCGTACAGAATGTTCCGCAATAAATAAAAAAAAAAAGAAAACATTAAAATATTTTTAGAAGTATCTATAAAACTACAAAAAAATCAAGGAACATTTTTGTCTGTCATCTAGCTACATTTCAGTTGGTGGAAAGTTTATTTTTCGAGTTAAAAGAATTTCCATGGAAATTGGTCGGCCTCGGTAGCCGAATTGCTTAATCACGCACATTAAGCAGCTCGAAAGACGGAGAATCTCTGGACGGGTGGCCGTCTGGAAACCTGGGATACCAACGGCACCGAGCCCGAGAAAAGATAACGAGAAAAGGCAACCACCTCGTAAATGCGTTCCTTGCAGAGTCTGAATCCGAGCCGGAGGACGAGGCGGAGGTGAGCGGCCCCGGCGGCGGCAAGCGCCTGTACCACCGCTACCTGGCGGCGACGGGCGGCAACGACAACGCGGTGCGCCTGTGGGACGTGCGCAGCCCCGCGTGCGGCGGCTGCGGGAGCGAGGTGCGCGCCGAGGTGGCCCCCGCCGAGCCCCACCACGCGCTCCTGGGCCACGGCTCGGCCGTCACCTCGGTGCGCTTCGCCCGCGCGGGCTCCCTGCTGCTCTCGGCCTCGCTGGACAAGACGGCGCGCATCTGGCAGGTGAGAGCTCCCCAGCGCCACGACGAACTTACTCCTTCTGGGCGCGGCGACTACTCGCTGCATTAGTCTGTAACTGAAATGCGCGCCTGGTGTGACGTCTCGGAAGGGGGAGCTTCCCGGGTGGTCGTTTAACGGCAACGACGCTGCCTATGCTGCTTCGTCGACCGGGAGATCCTAGGGACCGAGTCTAAGGGCCCCTTCCCACGTGCAGCGGGCGTCCGCTGCTGTGGCAAGCAGTGGCGGGCTCCGCTATGCGAAGCGGAGGAGGGGTTACCCGCCATCGCTAGCAGAATATAGCTTTAAATGGGAGCCTTCCCACTGCGCGACGGCCGCTGCGCAGAGCTGCTGTGTACACCTCCTTCGGTCCCTTTGTCCGTCGTCGCCGGAGGGTCGGCGAAGAGCCCAGCTGATTGACGTACGCGCGCTGCCGTGGCGGCGTGGGAAGGCGCCGTAACGCAGGCGGACTTTCGATAGGGGCTAGGTAGAGGGGTTGAATTCTTCCACGGTCTTCAGGAGAATTCTAGCTTCCAGTTATAATTTTCCGTGATTTCTGCGATTCATAGTAGGCGAATGTATTAGTACCCTAACAAACGTGCGGCAGGCCGCAATATTTTCCTTACTCCTCCTGGTCCCCTTCTGTATTTTTATGTAAACACGCCCTCTATACTATACTACTACACATATCGGGAGACTAGTCGGCAGCAAAGCGTTTGCTCCGGCTGGAAAGGTGCCCAGCTGAGGGACGCCCTGGTGTGTGTGTGTGTGGGGGGGGATTCACGGCCCCGTGAAAGTGGGACACAGACATAACAAGCACTTCACTTAAGGGACTTATGGACTTGATATTTGACGCACCCTGCATCAATACTCACTAATTGTCCTTACAAACTCACATTGTGCGCATTCGCCTTAAAGAATCTCTTACGTTTTTCCCTTCTTCTAAACGTTCTCGGCTCTCTCCAGTCGTTGTTCTACTCACTCCGCTACGTGTGCGGTAATCTATATTCCGCCTTGCGTAATATTTTCAGAACAGTTAGAAAAAGTTATGTTTATGTCGTTTAAGTTAATGGAAGTCTTGTATACGACTGTCACTCGAACTGGAACTGGCGGTGGAATGATTTATTCTATTCCCTTTTTTTAATACTTGGATAATTAGCCGTAGAGTACAGACACATACAAGCGCACAAGTATCCTTACAAGGTGCGATTGGAACCCGCGACGCTTCTAAGAAATACTCGAAGTTGTGAGCGCTGCCCAGGCAGTGCACTCTGTTGCAGTTGTATCGTTAAAACCTAGGGTGGTCAGATGTTCCGTTAGGTCTCTAGAGATAGGCCCGAAAGATCTGGGAAAATTGGATCAGCGTTTTCTGTTTTCAAGATATATTAAGAAATTTAAAAACCTAACTATTCGAAACTACAAAAAAATCTCAATTTCGAAAGTTGTTGCCAGTTGTTTGACATTTGTTCAGTCGTCAGAAGTTGTTTTCTTTCTAATCAAATTATATATTTTACCTTTAAACCACTGCTCAAAAGATTGACGTAATATCGTCTTTAAATTTACACAGGCAAGTATTTACTTTATTGGTAAAAATGAAAATTATACTCGATGGAAGCATGAAATAGCTCAGTTATTTGATTAAAAATGAAATAAAAGAAAATGATACTTTTTAACTTTGAAGCAGGGTACTTATATTCATTTAGAGAATTTATTCCCTTAATTGGTCTAGTCTTCTTTTGAGAAGCATCCTTCCAAAACTGTTTTACAAGTATTATCCAGAGACTTTTTTATCGAATATAGACATTGATAATTCGTAGTAAAGCCGGCATTGTCGTTTTTTGACTGCTAATAGTGCTATTACGTAAAGTTTAATTGTAGATGTAAAGGAGATTGATACATACATTTGTGCATTTTATACCATGTTGGCCGTTCCGTGGCTTGTATTTTTTGTTCTTTCGAAAGCAGTTCAGACATTGCCTTTGATGTATAATTTCAAATTGATTGTGGGGAAATGGGTATTGATTTTATGTTATTCTTATATTATAGCGATACCGCCATTCCTGTCTTTTCTCAAATTCGAATTTTGTTCGTAGTCGTGACCACTTTGAATGACTTATTTATTGATCATTTCTATCTTTCATTTACCCCTCTCATTGACGTCACTTCCATCAAACGCTGACCTTCACACTATAAACCCTCACTTACCTTTGCTGTCCTGTCACGCAGTCGTTGAAATCGCGCCAGGGTTTGTGAAACCAAACCGATGAAAATATGTTCCTGCGTCATTCAGAAACTGTTCTAATTGTAGGTTTATCTCCTCACTATCATAAGGTTCGTGAAGAGTATTGAGAATGTATGACTAATGCTGGGCGACAGTTTCTAACTCATAAGTACTCAGGTTTCCCCGATTCGAGTAGAAATAGAGATCGATATTTTATTTACAAGTACTATCCATTTAGTTACTAAGCTAGAAACGTATAGACAAAACGTACGTAATTGTCGCCTGTTTTGTAGCCGAGGTCAACCTTCATTTTATTTATTTATTGATTGGACGTTGAAATCGGTTAGAAATGTGCGACGAACTATGGGAGAGAAGTGTAATAAGAGCACGTTTTCTTGAGCTTTAGATTTTACCTTTACAAAACGATCTTGAATATTTGCAATTTTAATATACATAAGTGAAATTACTGATATTAAAATTGGGTAAGGAATTGGTATGGTTTCATATAGTGCTGGAAAAATTATCCTTAGGAAGAAAGAGTTGAAATAGAATGATCTGATGTTTGTGTACATTTTTACAAAATGTGGAGCCGTAAGTTAGAAACCCTGAATATTGGATCTCTAATGTAACATTTTAGTTATTGAACATTCTTTCGTATATCATGCGTATCATGGCATCATATTGATGCAGCATGGGTTTCGTAAAGTGTACAAATGGGCCGTTGAGTTGCATCCTCGCCTCTCGAGATAAGTCGTACGTACCATTTCTGTTGTGAGCCTCAAGTGTGTACTTTGCGTTAATTATTTCAAGCTTGTTTTGCCGTCGGTGTAATCAAGTTGACCCTTTAATATCCGCCACACGTTGAACCACTAATTGAATTTGCTTTGCACCGGACGCACCAATGGCTTCGATCGCTGTCGCCGGACGGCAGCCCGCACACAGCTGTCTCCAAAAGTATCGAGCGTTTGCGTTATACGATGTTAATCGGACCCATCGTAGCTGGAGATAATTCAGGCGGCCTAGAAATGAGGCTACGTAACGCAAGTGTCCCCATACATTTGCTGATTACATTTTACGATCGTTTTTTTCTTTGTTTGACCTCTTCTCGGTAGAAACGTAGCCCTATAATTTTAGGAGGGGGACAATTTAAATAGCTACTCTATGCATACGTATGCATCAAATATTAATTTGAAAAGTTACGTTATCTAGATTCCTTTTTATATAATTGCAATATGCAGTCGTTTTCTTCTGCGCTATTTCCCCTAGACAAGTCGAATCCATTCAGATGGTGATTGAACTACTCGTAATATATTGTTATTCTGATCAGAGAATGGTCAATAATAATGGCTTGTGCAGGTCTCGGGATATTTGGCGTCTAGTAATGGGGTAAACTGCGTGAATCTGTCCGTAACTCACGGTTAATCTTTCTGTCCACCATTCCGGGCATGTGAGGTGATAGTCGAGGTGAGGTCTCGGTATCTTGGGGGCTGTACTAACCATTTTTTGGGGGATCCTTCCAAAGCATTTTAAATATTTCAAAAAACGTGTTTTTTAGGATCTAAAATGCACCGTGGAGGGTAGAAAAGCTCCTAAAGAGACGATCAATCGCTCTTTCTGTTCAAACAATTGGTAGAAAATAGGTTTATGGGAAATTTACAAAAACTACGAAACGCTGTGAAGTGTCATACTGCCTTTCCCATGTTAACGAGAATGGTTACGACTTGATTAATCACATGTGCGGCAATTAAACTTAATTTTGTAATGAAACTAAAAGAAGGATTACACGGGCTCTCGTGATGCACTCCGCTTCTTGTGATTGATAAGTCTCAACTTGTAATTGACAAATAAAGAGAAGTGGTAAGAAAAATTCATAAATTTTTGACATACACCGCTCTGGTTCAGGTGTATCAGATGTGTTAAACGCTATTGATGTTCATTTCAGATGCGGAATAGTCGTAAATTTTCTCGATGGGAGAAAATCGAAGTACTATTATTACCGTAATGTCACTTAGCCATTACTAGTGATGTGCGTTTTCGCATGAAGTTCCACGGTCTACGTCTGCACTACAAGAGCAGAAAACGTACGTCGCGTAATCTGTGAAAACGAAGGTATTCTATATGTTTTGAGTTGGAAGGGAAAATTGGCGACTTGTAACCTGGTGTCTACGCAATACTTTTACGCAGCGGCATATTTGCAAAATATAGAAAGGTAGAACAGAAATGGTATAATATTAGAAAAACCAACAATTCCTAATGTCTGACGTGAAATCAACCACAGATTCATAAGTAAATCATTACGTAGACAGTGATGTATCGTGCTTAAAAATTTGCGTTGATTTTTGTCATACTTATATCTTGTTTTTCTCTGAAATTCTGTTTAATCGTTGAGTATTTCATAAATAACTTTAAAGTATTTTCAAGTTCTATGTTATATAAAGGGGCTGTTTCATTATTGTTTACTATTATTTGAGTTTTCATTCATAATGCAAAATTTTCACATCATTTGTCTTTTCATTCCCTTTTTTTAGTTCCTTATTACTGTAATTATTGCAACGAGTTGCCATCATTTTTAAGATGTCTAAATCTGACGAAACGTCTGTAATGTATTTTAATTAACTTGCTGAATCCGAAAAATGCAAATATATAGAAGTACTACTATTGTTGTCAGTGAATGAAACTTTTTTTTAGATTTTTTATGTGAAATATTAAATCGTCTATTTAGAAATTACATTGTCTACATAGACCACATAGAGAAAATGTGTAACATTCTTATGACACGCACTGGCAACGCTAAATTCAAATACGTTTTCTTTAAAAAATGTGAGACGTCTTCCGCTTCTCTACTGCAGTCCCCGTAATCCACTGTCATTCCCTGGAGTCAGGAATGTCAAGCAATCCACCTGCGCTAAAAATACCCATTCTCATATTCCTCTCCTTGGCGAGTTCCAGACGCAGCTCCGTAAGATCGTGTGCAAAAAATACGCACGCGAACTCAGCATTGCTAATTTGAACAGACGAAGCCGCAGAGCTGTAACGTGGATATAAACTTTTTTCTGACATTATGATCTTCGACGAATTCGCCTAAAATATGACATTCATTCAGTAGTTGTGATTGAGTTCCGGTTTATATTTGTATGGTGCCTGTAGCAAACAGTCTACCTCAGTTATAGTAAATCTCTCAGGATTAACATTTTTGGTCTAGTAGATCAGAGGTTCACTGCTAACGGACAATGCACAAATAATTTAGTTTTTTCTTGACTATGGATTTTATTTTTACGGAGGTTTAGTAACTAACACTGCGAAATCGTAATTTTCATGCATTCATTCATTCTTTAAAGTATTTTGTATTAGCGTGCTGTAAACAAGTTTTAATAAATGCTTTTTGCAGATATTTCTGAAATGTCTGCGCTTTCGCGACAAAATTCCAATAATAATAATAATAATAATAATAATAATAATAATAATATTAATAATAATAATAATAATAATTTCACACACCAAACATTTTATTTGGTACAGTCTTGATATACTTGAATAACTCTTTCGCTGTTGGAACACATTCTTCATTTGAATCCTATTTGTCATTACACTCGATTTGTTCTGTTCTGGATGGACCTTTCACAGCATTTACAATATCCTAGCCAGATGGGGTAGGCCAGGAGAAGGAAAATTGAGAAATAACATGGTATTAATTTCAATTTCATTAATATCAATTGTAGACGATTATTTCCAATATCACATTATGGATTACCACACGATATCTGCTAGCACCACGGTATTTATATATAGATGTTGTAGAGAGCTCACTACAACTGAATAATCTAGTGTTTGTTGCTAATATAGGTGGATGTGGGGACCAGTGACTTTGGTTCACTCATGATTCAAAGTTATAGTTAACTATTGAGCTGCCTATTCGGCCAATGAGCTTCATGCACCAGCTTGTGTCAGCCGCATACAAAACTTAACTCCTAGTTACAAGTCATTGAAATAGATATATGAAGTGCTTTTTAATTTTTTTATATAGCACCTTTAATTGCAAATACATATTTGTCTTTGGTCACCCCTTTAAAATTGTCACTTTCAAAATGTTTCTTTATACTTCTCGCTTGCAATGCAACAGGGCGGCCAGCGCCTGGCCTGGCTTTTCAACCGAAGTGTCCATGTTTTGGTCACGTGGTCCGTACATCGTACTGTGCGCCGGAGCAGCTCACCCAGGTCTTTGCATCTAATTTTGCAAATAAAATAGAAAATTAATATATCTGATTTTAACGTATCCAGAGTAGGCTGTATTTGAATATATCAGTTTTGCAGCATGATACGCCCAGTTGCATTTGTCGAGATTATAGATCTGAATGAAGAGAATGAATGTTAGATGCAGTGAAATAAAATAAAATCACATTAATTTGTCATGAATCGCCGAAGAGATGAATATTACGTGCGTTCATTTTGCCCTTCACAAATACCTCGCATATTTACGTAATGCGTACTAGTTTGAAAAATATTTTCCCTCTCTTTTGAAGCCACAATAAGGCTGTAAAAACTCCATAAGGCACTAATTCTGGCTGATGTGGGGCATACCGTGCTTATCGACATAGGTGAAATCTGTGCTCTTTGTTTCTTCGTACCAATTGTCCGTTGTGGGCAGACAAGAGTCATGCGACGGTTGCACCAGTTATGTTCCTGGCGTGCTTTGAGTATTGATTTATTAGAAATAAACTATTGTGGTCTACTATCTCCTATCTGTCGACTGTTTGGAAGGATTGCTTGAAGCTATTTTTGATATATCATTTTCATGTAGTATGGAAGTCTATGAAATCTTCTATGAAATAAATTATTTTCCAATAGATTATTCATTAACCTCTTCACGATCGATTCAAATATGCTTCATGGCGAATTAATATTGAGTGAAATATAAATTCAGGTGAATTGTGGGGTGATTGACATTATAATTACTAGGTACTACAAACTAGTTCTGGACTACTCTACTCGAAAACACAATCGTATTTAAACCTGTACGAAATACTATTAGTAACGCCTCGTGAACGCAATTTTACTATCGATACTAGTATATTCGTTCCTGCTATTGTCATATGTTCTCGCTCAACCAAGCACATTGCATCCAAAGAGGAGAGCTTATCTCAAGTGTAGTAGACAAGAGAATCACCATGTGCATACGTTGCATGTGAAACAGATGCTATTGTGTCAGAAACAGTGCTTTTGGGTGTAGTATCATTCTGAGAAATTTTATACAGCAAGTTGTTCCAATAAATGCTTTTTAAGCATTCTTGGCTGCAGGGGAGAAGCTAAATAAGACCTGTGCAAGGTTTAGGGCCTCGTGGCCCGGAAAATGTCCTAGGCATCCCCAGGGCCTCTTCCTCTTCATGTCCTTCTCCCCTTTTTCCTCCGCTGATGGCCCTCCGCTGATGGCCCTCGCTGATGGCCCTCTGCGTCGTAAGGAAATCGAAACGGCATCACTTCTTTTTCGATTCTAGGAATTTTTGCACGTAAAATTTTTCCTATCTCTATATCCTAATTCTATATCCTCTCTATATCCTCTATATCCCTTCCTATTTCTATATCCTAATTTTTCACGTGTCCTATTTCTATTTCATTCGCTTTTCTTTAGTATTAATGGCTTATCCCCCCCCCCCCCCC